AGCTTTGTCTGATGAAAATGGTAATTTACCCTTATCAAAGTGGGTTTTAGATTCTCTGTAACTTGTGCATATTACATGTGTATAGTTGTAAACATGGTAAAGGGTGGAAGCAGGATCCCGTCTGGGTTCTGACTGTTCTGTCTTTACTTGGACTATATTCTGTACCTTTGTCTACCCTTGGCGTTGAAATATCACTTTCTGTTTACATTGCTATGTGTATAGTTGGAAGAGTCGCTTTTTAAAGCTTTGTCTGATGAAAATGGAAATTTACCCCGATCAAAGTGATGTTACATTCTCTGTTGTTTTTGGTTTTTTTTTGTATGCCTCAGGACAACAACTATCAAAATTTTGTATCTGAGTTTTAACTGAACGTGCACAACAAAACAATCATGAAATCCTACAAACTATCTTATATAATAACCAATATTACGATCAAAGATTTTTTTGTTTTAAAATTGTCGTATTAGGTATGACTGAAAATAGAGTATTGTTATTTTGTCCAATCTTGTAAGATCTTGTATGATCTAGTTCGATCTTGTAAGATCCACCTTGGGCAGATGTGCCTCGATAACTGGGGACAGCCACTCATCTAGGAGAGACAACTCCAAAATTAAACAACTGCTGCCTTGTAGTTTGTTCTTGGTTGGACAAAAAGGCTATGGAAGCAAATCCAAAAAAGAAAAGCAGGCTGAAATAATAATCATTAAAAAAGTTTTAAAAAACCCACGTTTTCTGATTGAACTAAAAAGTAGAAAATAAACGCTATACATCACAATAATGCAAGCGATCACTCTACTATAAGCGATCAAAAACGTGGGGCGCCGAAGTAAAAGTTATATTACTATTGATTAGATAGTACTATTGACTTTTATTAGGGAGCTTGTAGAGAGTCAACAGTATTAGAAACTGTAAGAAAATCACGGCGCCCCACGTTTTTGATCGCTTATAGTAGAGTGATCGCTTGCATTATTGTGATGTATAGCGTTTATTTTCTACTTTTTAGTTCAATCAGAAAACGTGGGTTTTTTAAAACTTTTTTAATGATTATTATTTTTTACTTTTTAGTCTTTGTTTGTTTGCATTAAAATCTTGCTATCGATTTTATCTTTTCACTTTTTTTGGGTAAACGAAGACAACTCGTAAAAAGACAACTCGTAAAAAGACAACTCGTAAAAAGACAACTCGTAAAAAGACAACTCGTAAAAAGACAACTCGTAAAAAGACAACTCGTAAAAAGACAACTCGTAAAAAGACAACTCGTAAAAAGACAACTCGTAAAAAGACAACTCGTAAAAAGACAACTCGTAAAAAGACAACTGGTAAAAAGACAACTGGTAAAAAGACAACTCGTAAAAAGACAACTCGTAAAAAGACAACTCGTAAAAAGACAACTCGTAAAAAGACAACTCGTAAAAAGACAACTCGTAAAAAGACAACTCGTAAAAAGACAACTCGTAAAAAGACAACTCGTAAAAAGACAACTCGTAAAAAGACACATAGATTTGAACCCGTGTCGAGTGAGATAGCAATCGTGTGCCCAACCACTCGACCATATCGTCTCCCCCAAACTGGCCTACCTCCTGTAACTTTAAACTCGGTTGAAACTAAATTATCTGCCCCTAAGCCTGTGGCGATGTGGGATCGTTCGCTTCACTGCGCGCGAGGTACGCGTCGCTCGTTTTTTTTCTAATGGCTCGAAGAGGAGAATTATATATATAGATTATATAGCGGTCTAAAATGCTCAATAAAATGTTTCCATTGATCAATTTAGTAATAATAACAATTGAATATGCAATGGTCATCCAAAAGAAAGCTTCCCTGAAAATTTCAGCGCGCTAGCTAACTGGGAAGTGCCAGAAATTTCGATCGCAAGATTTGATTGGAAAGACAAACAAACACAGAAAGACACAGAGAAAGCAAGTTAAAGAAAACGTGGGAAAATGAGTCAACTGTCTATATGGCGCATAATTATGTTGGAGGGACTCCCTTTCAACACTAAAAATTAAGAACAAAGAAGAAGTAATAAGATCCATTTTGTTTATAACAAAACGTGTTCAAAAACCAAATAACGAAATGCCAAGAAAAGCTATCATAATGAAGGAAAAAAATTAATAAATTAACTGAAATATTTAGTCAAATATTTAATAAAACAACCTTAATAAATATGAAACAGATGCGCTCTACTTCCCCTGCTCACCATGTCCTAAGCACGAGCGGGAAAAGAAGAAGATAACAGTGATGACACCACGCTGTTCGAGTTAAGTCATGGTTCTACTGTATAGATTACAATAAGTAGACGTATCAAAGACTGTCATTTTGGTATATCCAAGTTAAATTATACAGAACCATTACATACATAAAAAAAAAATTCTCTGGTAACTAATATGTCCCAGAAGTGAGATAAATATTGTATGATGTATCACTAGATTAGGCTAGCGTGTTTTTCTTTCGCTCTTACTAAAAGTTTTGATTTGTTTTTAACTTAAAGAAGTCTAAGTATATCGTCAAGTTTATAGATTCTATTGGTCCAATTAGAATTTTTCATACTACTCCTGGGACTGTTTGGTTTTTCTATGGGTTTTCTAAAATGTGAGTGTTAGAGTAGTTTTCTAGAATGTTAGTGTTTGAGTAGTTTTCTAGAATGTTAGTGTTTGAGTAGTTTTCTAGAATGTTAGTGTTTGAGTAGTTTTCTAAAATGTTAGTGTTTGAGTAGTTTTCTAGAATGTTAGTGTTTGAGTAGTTTTCTAGAATGTTAGTGTTTGAGTAGTTTTCTAGAATGTTAGTGTTTGAGTAGTTTTCTAGAATGTTAGTGTTTGAGTAGTTTTCTAGAATGTTAGTGTTTGAGTAGTTTTCTAGAATGTTTTCCGGGCGTTTTCGCTAATCTGCCAAGTGTATCAATAGTAGGGTGTCTGTAAGGTAGATGAATTTTCAAAAATAAGAATATTAGATTGTATGCGAGGGGTTTTGTCCATTTTTTAAACGATTTCCGATAACAGGAAGTGGCACTTTATTTCCGTGGTTACACGATATATCTTGAGTACTGTTTCAGTTAGGTAGACCTGTTAGGTAGACCAAATTTTATATAAAAGTATAAGATTTTATGAGTGATTTCCGGTGACCGGAAGTAGTACTTAACACTATTATCAATAGAAACCACTTCTATTGCCTAAAAAGCACGGAGAATGTGCCACCCTTTTACTATTATTTGGGAATATACGGAAGGGATTAACGAAGAGTGTCGTAGAGCACTCCCTTGTATTTCTTTTTACGACATTTCTTTAATTGTCCCTTTTTATTAGGGATCCAAAAAGTGTCAAGATAACGTACATTAATAACCCAGTTGAAAGCGAAGATTATTAGTATAAAAGGAATCTCATTGTAGAAAGGTAACGCGTATATTTCTTAAATATTAAATAATGTTTCATTATTGTATGTCTAAATACCACAATTCTTCACATTTTTGGTCTAAATTTTATATTTTTCAGATGATTAACTTCAGGAAACAATAAAAAAATAATGATTTGTTTTCATTTATACAGCATTTTATACAATTTTTTTACTTTAGGTATTACATTACAAGTTGCCTCCCTTGTTATAATTTTTATATATGCACTTGCCCGTTTAGTGTTAGGCTTTACTCCAGCCGTTTACAAATTTACAGCGATGTCAAAATGTAAATGTTAACACTGATATGTATGTGGTTTAAGAAAAATTCAAGAGCATTACATATTACTACGCTCAAAACAGCGGCAGGACGTGATTCTAAAAATTAACCTACACATCAACTACCATTCTTCATTATCAGATGTAACAATTTTAGGGTACGCGTACCACAGTCTGGGAACCACGGATCTGAACAAAGGAAACGTGAGTGTCAATTTTTTGTCAGGGGGTGATTGATGTAGAGGTCAAAGGTCAACCGGACAAAAAATACCCGGATATATTTCAGTTGACCCAAGATTTGACTTGATCGAATAAAAACACGTCCAACAATTATCGCAAACGATATCTTCAACCAAGTAACATTATTTTTCTTGGATTTAATTAAACTATATAGAATTAATGTTACTGCCTGTCTTAATGATATTCGTCATTGATTGTGAGATGCATGGGTTATTTTAGTCGCTTTGTTATTATAGATTTTTTAAAAACTTTTTATGAAGCCTGGCTTACAGACCACCCACCACCCACCACCCACCCACCCACCACCCATCCCTCCCAACCATCACCAAATTACCATTTTCCCCCACCCAACAACACATTCACATACACGTATATACGACCGATGATACAACACATTTTGTGTGAGTCAACTAATAAGCGAGCTACGATATCTTTATCACGTGGGGTAAGTTTCCTACTATTACATTTAAAAACACAAATAAAAATGTGAATGGGGGTGGGAGGGGTAGTCACCGTTGAGAAGGCCAGTGTGACAATAGGCAGACGATTGTGACAATAGGAAAATGGTTGTGACAATAGGCAGACGAGTGTGACAATAGGCAGTCGATTGCGACAATAGGCAGGTGGTTTTGACAATAGGCAGGTGGTTGTGACAATAAGCAGGTGGTTGTGACAATAGGCAGACGGTTGTGACAATAGGCAGACGAGTGTGACAATAGGCAGGTGGTTGTGACAATAGGCAGACGAGTGTGACAATAGGCAGGTGGTTGTGACAATAGGCAGACGAGTGTGACAATAGGCAGGTGGTTGTGACAATAGGCAGATGGTTGTGACAATAGGCAGACGATTGTGACAATAGACAGGTGGTTGTGACAATAGACAGACAAGTTGGACAATAGCCATAATTGTGCAGTTTTAACATTTGTCTTCAAAAGTATTATGTGCCTGTTGTCTGTGCATACAAATTGTACACTCGAATAAAATATATCGTCGAATTTTTGTAAATATTAACATGTTTATGTGTTTGTTTGATAGATTCAGATTTAAATTGTTAAAAGAAAAACACACTTTCTTGTATTTATTTTTTTTTTATTGCATCGGCAAACAATTCTTGTTGGAGGTCCTTTTGTATCATTCACAGGCGACAAGTGGGTCACAGCACTCGGGGTAGTGGGCTGTTGTGTTGTATATCGCTATACAGTATAGTGGGATGTAAGCTGGGGTACAGCTGGGTGGTAAATAGACAAAATATGTGGACATTTGGGGTAAATAGACAAAATATGTGGACATTTGGTGTAAATAGACAAAATATGTGGACATTTAGGGTAAATAGACAAAATATGTGGACAAAGGGGTAAATGGACAAAATATGTGGATATAGGGGTAAATAGACAAAATATGTGGACATAGGGGTAAATAGACAAAATATGTGGACATTTGGGGTAAATAGACAAAATATGTGGACATTTGGGGTAAATAGACAAAATATGTGGACATTTGGGGTAAATAGACAAAATATGTGGACATAGGGGTAAATAGACAAATTATATGAACATAGGGGTAAATAGACAAAATATGTAGGCATTGGGGTAAATAGACAAAATATGTGGACATAGGGGTAAATAGACAAAATATGTGGACATTTGGGGTAAATAGACAAAATATGTGGACATTTGGGGTAAATAGACAAAATATGTGGACATAGGGGTAAATAGACAAAATATGTGGACATAGGGGTAAATATACAAAATATGTGGACATTTGGGGTAAATAGACAAAATATGTGGACATTTGGGGTAAATAGACAAAATATGTGGACATTTGTGGTAAATAGACAAAATATGTGGACATAGGGGTAAATAGACAAAATATGTGGACATTTGGGGTAAATAGACAAAATATGTGGATATAGGGGTAAATAGACAAAATATGTGGACATTTGGGGTAAATAGACAAAATATGTGGACATTTGGGGTAAATAGACAAAATATGTGGACATAGGGGTAAATAGACAAAATATGTGGACATTTGGGGTAAATAGACAAAATATGTGGACATAGGGGTAAATAGACAAAATATGTGGACATTTGGGGTAAATAGACAAAATATGTGGACATTTGGGGTAAATAGACAAAATATGTGGACATAGGGGTAAATAGACAAAATATGTGGACATTTGGGGTAAATAGACAAAATATGTGGACATAGGGGTAAATAGACAAAATATGTGGACATAGGGGTAAATAGACAAAATATGTGGACATTTGGGGTAAATAGACAAAATATGTGGACATTTGGGGTAAATAGACAAAATATGTGGACATAGGGGTAAATAGACAAAATATGTGGACATTTGGGGTAAATAGACAAAATATGTGGACATAGGGGTAAATAGACAAAATATGTGGACATAGGGGTAAATAGACAAAATATGTGGACATAGGGGTAAATATACAAAATATGTGGACATTTGGGGTAAATAGACAAAATATGTGGACATTTGGGGTAAATAGACAAAATATGTGGACATTTGTGGTAAATAGACAAAATATGTGGACATAGGGGTAAATAGACAAAATATGTGGACATTTGGGGTAAATAGACAAAATATGTGGATATAGGGGTAAATAGACAAAATATGTGGACATTTGGGGTAAATAGACAAAATATGTGGACATTTGGGGTAAATAGACAAAATATGTGGACATAGGGGTAAATAGACAAAATATGTGGACATTTGGGGTAAATAGACAAAATATGTGGACATAGGGGTAAATAGACAAAATATGTGGACATTTGGGGTAAATAGACAAAATATGTGGACATTTGGGGTAAATAGACAAAATATGTGGACATAGGGGTAAATAGACAAAATATGTGGACATTTGGGGTAAATAGACAAAATATGTGGACATAGGGGTAAATAGACAAAATATGTGGACATAGGGGTAAATAGACAAAATATGTGGACATTTGGGGTAAATAGACAAAATATGTGGACATTTGGGGTAAATAGACAAAATATGTGGACATAGGGGTAAATAGACAAAATATGTGGACATTTGGGGTAAATAGACAAAATATGTGGACATAGGGGTAAATAGACAAAATATGTGGACATTTGGGGTAAATAGACAAAATATGTGGACATTTGGGGTAAATAGACAAAATATGTGGACATAGTGGTAAATAGACAAAATATGTGGACATTTGGGGTAAATAGACAAAATATGTGGACATAGGGGTAAATAGACAAAATATGTGGATATAGGGGTAAATGGACAAAATATGTGGACATAGGGGTAACTGGACAAAATGTTGACATAGTGGTAAATAGACAAAATATTTGGATATTAGGTAAACGTTACATCCATTGTGGGGATCTATTTGGGATGTCTAGACATTGCCTCCCACCCCCTTTCCCCCAACTAAACATCCACCCCTAATGCCCCCCCCCCCCCTACATACCTGAAGCATGTGTACTCCCCTGCTCCACATTCACATTTCATGCACTCAGGTACCTGAGAGTACCAGATCTGGCCGGGCATGACGTCACCAAGGCAATCACCTGTATGACGTCATGAAAAAAATTGATGGTTAGAAAATTGATTATCAACTTAACAGATAATAGACGTCATGGTTTTACTCTCACAGCATCGCAGAAAGAAAAAAAAACTACAAAACTGCCGGAAAAATCGTAACTATATCATTTGTTTACAAACAGACTTAACTAGAATATAATCTGAATAGACGCCAAATATAATTTTGTATGCAATATTCGCATTTCACATTGCAAATAAAATCCGCTCGGGTGTTGAATTAAAATTGTGTTTAATAAAATGAAGTAATTTCATGGTCTAAGGGGCGTAACAATGAAATTTAAAAATGCTGTGTATCTACGCTTTTACCTCCCTTTAAATAGCGTTGAAAAAAATAAGCAGGCGAAACACGCCGTACCTAAACGATACGGAATGTTATGACCTAATCAAAAACGAATATGCATGATACATAATTTCGTATGATCAATACTGCTACAGCTCGGCAGTTAAGCTTAGTGTTAGAGTTTGATGACAAAAGCAAATGGCGCTTAAAGCCACCTGGAACGTCAACCAAAGGCAGTTACACGGCTGTTTGTGGGGCAGATGAAGTAGAGCATCTGTTTCTCTCAGCTCGGTATAGGAAGGGAGAATGGGATCAGCACTATGCCCAAACAACTTTACTTTGCCGAACTTAGGTGAGAGCTGTGCGGACTCAAGCAGTCAATTCAAACAAGTCTTTCTTTTACACAATTTTTTTTCCGGATAAGGGGGCACTTTTGTACGGTGGGGAGACACGCCGATACTGGTGAAAGTATATATTTTTCATATATTATTTCTTTTTCCTTCGGGGTAAGGGTGGTTGGACTTGCTTCGGGGTGAATTGGGTAGGGGTTGCTCTGCTCCTTCACCCCCCCCCCCCCCCCCAAACTCCAAGATGACTGAAATAATCTCTAATCAGAGCTAGAGACTTGTGAGCTAGCAACCGTACGTAAATCATATTTTGAATTAAACCTTCAAGTTTCATCACCCTACCTTTAATCCTTCGTTAAACACACACACCCCATCCCACCCTACCTTCAAAACTTCAAGTTAAACACCCCCCCCCCCCCCACACACACACACACACACACACACACACACACACACACCCTCACCGTACCTTGAAACTTCGTCACCGCGGCTGTCGTCATACCGATGAAGCAGAGGAGAAGAAGGAAGACGAGTCTGGACATGATCGTCTAACGCTGACGAGATGCTGACAGTGGCACTCAGACGGTCTAAGTTCCGGCTCTGGCACTGGTGCTGATGTTAGAATCTCTTTGGGGCGTGGCTATACAGAGACGGATCTGGGCTGTGTAGTGGCTAAACAGAGGCGGTCCTGGGCTGTGTAGAGAAGTGGCTGTACAGAGGCGGTTCTGGGCTGTGTAGAGAAGTGGCTGTACAGAGGCGGTTCTGGGCTGTGTAGAGAAGTGGCTGTACAGAGGCGGTTCTGGGCTGTGTAGAGAAGTGGCTATACAGAGTCGGTTCTGGGCTGTGTAGGGAAGCGGTGGCTATACAGAGACGGATCTGGGCTGTATAGTGGCTAAACAGAGGCGGTCCCGGGCTGTATAGAGAAGTGACTGTACAGAGGCGGTTCTGGTCTGTGTAGTAAAGTGGCTATACAGAGGCGGTCCTGGTCTGTGTAGGGAAGTGGTTTTATATAGGAGGTCCTGGGCTGTTCAGGCTGTAAGAAAAGTATTTTAATTTGTGAATTACTCAATGTCAAGTCTAGAGCTAAGCCTTCTCAAACCGTGATCTATATATACTACGGCATTATAGTAGCAAACCGCAGTGGCGTAGCGAGGTCGGGTGTCACCCGGTGCGGCACTTAATGGTGTAACCCCCCCCCCCTCAAACTTTCGATTTGCACCCCCCCCCTCAAACTTTCGATATGCACCCCACCCCCTTTATAATTTTTCTCTATATATTTTGCTATTTTTTTTGCCTTGGTGTCACCCCCTTAAAAGGTGTCACCCGGTGCGGTCCGCATCCCCCCCCCCCCTCGCTACGTCTCTGGCAAACCGTGGTCTATACTACGCCGTGTAGATCTAGATTCTAGATCTAGATCAACCAGTAGCATACAGCTTGTCATGCTGTTTAGTCCTGTTGTACCTGCTATAACAGCCGATAAATGGAGATTCCGGGTGAGCAATCGAACGCGCTACTTTCCAACCACACCCTCCCATAAACCTACTCAACCTTGACCTACACATTTTACCTTAACCATAAAACTAACCTTCCAAAAGAATTGTTTGCCGAAGTC